AAAAAGAACCTGTTTCCAATGAATTGAATCATTAATTTGAGGAATGCTGAATTGTGACATTGTTATTCGAGCATTACTAACATTTTGATTAACACCACCACCAGCAACACTTGACGTTGTCGTTGCAGACGTCTGTGATGACGGCGTAATGCAAGCAGAAGTGAACTGTTGCTTTTGGTTTTTTGATGTGTTCGTTTGACGAGCATTGAATTTGTTCGTGTTAATCTTAACAGGTTTCAGTGATTTGCTTGATTGTGCGGATACGGCTGCGGATGAGTCGATCAGTGCGCGATCTGCGACACTGTTCGGACGGGAATTGCTTGATGAGAGGCGATTGAAAATTGTCGCATTGTTGTCTCTTTTGACGAGATGCGAACAACGATGCGGATCATTCGGTGATGATCCTTTGGATTTGAGTGACGATGGCGAATGTATTATCGCAGACGATGAGCGATCGGTGTTCGTCGATGCCATACGACTGTGCTCGGAGAAATTTGTGGATGGACCTGAGGTGGCACATCGCAAGTCGGACACAACAAATCCATTCGAACCACTGAAAATGACAACGCACAGCATATTAAGGAACCATTATGCATTGTATGAGTAATAATGCTTTGAGAAATCGATCAATCGCACACTGTCAACGTTAAGTTGAAATTGCTGATCGCGTTTTCGAATGCAAGCGATTCATGAAGACAATCAACAGCTAAGGCAATTAACTCGAAATTAATGAAACGTGTCACAACAGATCGAAAACCGATCAAAGAACAAACAAAATAAACTTCGACTTCTCATTTTCACTGATAATGATTGATGAGTCTCATACGAATCAATGAATTTCTATATTTCGAGTATCCGAACATATCATACAGGTGATACTCCATTCAATTTACCTACTACTACTATACTCCTCAACAGTCACATTAAACGAGCTAAACAAGATAAAGTGGAAAAACATAAAAATACGATAATGATCACAAAATGAATTGAACTTTTCAAATGTTCATCTCGGATAACTGACAGCAGCTAACATCACTATTCTATAACCTATCGCTTACTTCGATAAATTGTTCAGTGAAGTGATTTATTGAGAAGGTCACCAACCTGCTAACTGTGGATCTTGGCAGTGCCAACGGAACCTCGGGAAGTGTCTCGCCAAAATGATGGCTTTTCCGATGTTCTCGCTTATTTTTCCAACCTTTCTTATTGAGCACTGGCAGTTCAGCATATCCGTCAAGCATTTGACTGCAACAAAACTTTCTGGTCAATATTTTTCTAGAACAAGCATGATTAATTCGTTGATGGCAACGAATTTAGCCGGTCAACATGATTCCACTGCATCAACAGTTTATTGATGCTTCGTTATTGACTCATAAACCTTTCGTTTTTAACGGTTGCTTACAGTGATTCATCACTAAAAGTCCACTCTATCGGTAATCCTGATGTATTTTGGTCAATCTTATTTGAGCCTCTCTCGCTAATGTCCGAGCAGCTCCAATACCCATAGAGCAGCTCCGATCTTCGGAAGTAGCCGAATGAACGAATCATCGAAATAGAACTCCACATAACAG